AATTATTTATTGGTTTAATGTAAGTGGCTATTGTTTGGGATGAATAATATTAAGGAATGGGCAGTGTTACGACAGTGGAAGTCACGCAACGCTGGAAGCATGCGTGCTGGAGTTTCTAGAAATATCATGACTTTTCTGGCAACTCTAGTCTGTTCTAGGCGCCCTTATTTTTAGTATATAAGCCCGGCAAATAATGCGGAGAGATAATTGCATAGATAGAGAGATTGAAGATAGAGATAATCGAGTCAGGTTCTAAGTAAAGTGTGTGAATCCCTGTGAATTGTAGCGTGTTTTTATAAAAGTAGTTAAGTTAACTGATTGTGGAAATTTCGTCTATTGCAAAGTTGTATTGAGAAAGAATAAACTAGTTTTATTTAAGAACGGATTTGTATCACTGAAGTTCTTCTGAATGAATTTATACCGGAAATTAACAAACGACCAGATACGCAACAGTATAGTATAAATTCAGGTGGTACTTTCAGAATATCTTACATGATGTTTTTTACCTGAATAACTTTTTAATTACTATCAGGAGGTAATAAATATCCTCTAACTTTTAAATAACTATTACATACCATAAGTTATTAAAGTTTTCAACACTGGTTTGTTTTTATGGGAAGTTTACCCAAGAAAATACCCGTCACCAAACATGCTCACCCTTTTAGCCGTGAGTGCGTTATAATTGGGTGGTTAAACCGAATGTTTGTTGGTAAAAAGAGTAGCCCAATAGTTGGTGTTGACTAGCTGCCTTCCGTCTATTCTATCACTGCTATATATGGGTAGCTATTGCAGATAGGCTTCGTGTAGGTTTGAACGAAATTAAAAACCAACAACCCGTTAGATTAACGTTCGGGATGTTAAGAGAAAGTGTATTTTTCATATTGAATATTTCTTGATTACCATACATGGACATGGCCTTGAAAGGGTCAGAGTACGTGCTAATAGCATAATCTCTGACCCTCATATAGTAATTATATAAATATTCTATGGGAATAAATTAATATAGTGCAGGGAGAGGAAGAGGTCGAGGTGAACCTGACCCTCCTAGGTCCACCAAAGGCCCGGCATGGCCAGGTGGTTAGGGTGCTCGACTCGCAATGTGTGGGTTGCGGGTTCGAATCCCCGTCACACCAAACATGTTCGCCCTTTCAGCCGTGGGGGCGTTATAATGTGATGGTCAATCTTACTATTTGTTGGTAAAAGAGTAGCCCAAGATGTGGCGGTGGGTGGTGTCTTCCCTCTA